ACCTAGTATTTAAAGCCAAAATAATAACAACATGCTGTAAGTTTATATAGAAGAAAAACATGTCACAAGAGCACAAAGGCCAGGAAAGGACAAACGGAAGTATGTGCTATTGTTAAGTTCTTCATCTGAACATGAAGTAGTATTGCTTGAAAAAAACCAAAAACTGCAGTGAGTTAAATATGTATATCATGACCCTGAATGCAGCTGTTGAAATTATTCTTCAAAGAGTTAGGACTAATATAATTTTTAATAAAGGTGATTAAAAATAGAACCACAAGAAAAATCCATCTAAAGGAAGATATTTTTAAAAAGTGGGAGTGCTACGTGGCAGGTTGAGACAGGAGGATTGCAAGTTTGAGGCCAGCCTGATAGCTCAAGAGTAAAACACCTCTGGGTTGCTCAATCCTGCAAAATCAAAACCAAAAAAACAACAAACACAACGAGAAACCATTATATACTCATAAGATGTCAAGATGAACTGGACACAGTGCTTTTGGTCTAGAATAGGGGATACATCCTTAAACTTTCAAGAGTCTGATCCTTACTGGACATAAATGGAAGAGGCACATCCTCCTCCAGGTGGGGGCTTAACATTCTAGCTTGCTTCTCAGTCACCCTCTGCACCAAGCATGCAGAGGATGTGGGTGGAACTGGAACCACAGTGTGATCTCAGCCTCTGATGAGCCTCTTGAGACGCAGAGACAACAGGAAATGTTACATTTAACAACCTGTTCCAATGTTCAAGTGTTTTAGAAATTCAGAGGTGTTACGTGAGCACTGCAGTTAATAGCATCCTTAGTTAAGAGCAGAAGGACCATCCTTGTCACCTAGGACCCTGAAGATTCATAATCCTCCCTCAGAATTAAAGAGATCACTAAATCTAAGAAATAGAGTGGAATCAACCTGCAAACATTTACCCTGAATCTTTCAAACTAGTTTAAATTGGGAACATGTCTATTTGTCTAAAAAATTTTTTATAGAGGTTTTATTTTTATTTATATATTTCTGTTTTAGTTATACATGACTGTAGAGTGTTTTTTAAAAAAATTTTTGTTTGTCTGAACAGTTTTAAGACTTAAGAAGAAAGAAACTTAACAGGAAAGGGACAGAGGTGATCCTGTTTTATATTAGACAGCACATACCTACTACACCTCCCATAAGCTAGAAATTTCTTCCTGTGGTCAGTATTCTGGGATTTTAATTAAACAGTCTAGGTTTTCTAATTTATTTGCCTTCAGTCAAGGAACTACATATCTTCATCCTTGGAACACATAGGACGTGGCAGATCTGGGGCTTTGTGCTTCTCAGAATATTATCAAATGGGCCAGTGAGAGAGATGCGCAGCTGTCCCCAGAGGGGAGAGGAGACAGGGTCCTGGATTTTATTTTACTGTCTTTGATATGTGTGGAGCACTGTGCCAAGATCATCCTTTGTACTAGATCTCTTTAGTTTCAGGAAAGGTGCTTCATGTAATTCTGTTCTATAATGAATCCTAGCTGATGTTCCCACCTTTTGGGAGGTGGAGGAGTTTATTTTTGTCATTTCCTGTGTGTTTGACTGATGGGGCTTCCGGTCTGGTCCTTTGCTCCTGCCCAGGGCCTGCTCTTAACAGTTATTGTCCCCAGGTGCTGGAGTGATCAAGAGGGTGCATGAATGGCCAAAGTGCAGGCGCTCCTGCCTGGGGAGGGCATTGGCAGTGCAGTGGGCATTCTTCAGGCCACTGCCTTCCCAGGATGGTTGTGTGCTAGTTGTAGTCTGTTGTCTCTGTATTTCCCCATATGTAAAATTGGTGTGATGGATGCCTTGTTAAAACTCTGTCTAGAGGTAATCTTCCTCCCTTGCTCTCCCTCCCAACCCCATTTTGAGTCACCCCCCTTATATCAGAGAAGACATTCGGCATTTGTTTTTTGATAAATTGTGGTATAAAGGTGTATTAAGAATTGCAATGCAAAAAAATTATGAATGTAATGCACTCCTCTATTGTGATTTAAGAAATAATAAAAAAATAAAAATTAAAAAACAAACAAACAAACTCTGAAGCCTGCCCTCTGCAAACTGCTCGTTAATGATGGGCCAGAGGTACTATGTGGAACTGTGCTGCCCTGGCCTGCAGAAGGTCAGGGTCAGCCTCAGGCTATGCTACTGCTTCCGGTAGGGTGACCTAACACCAAGCATGTGTTCTCACACTGCCCAGGGCATTTATGTTACTATAATTTTGGTTCTGAGGTGTTATTTTTATTTAAATACATCTTGTGCCCTAATGCACATACCACAAAATGAAGCCATTTAAGTATATAATTCAATGCTTTTATTATATTCACTATAGGTGGTGCAGTCATCACTATAAATAATTTTATCACCCCAAAAGAAATCTGATATTCTTTAGCCATCAACCTCCGTTTTCCACCCAACCTATACCTCCAGGCAATGACAAATTGTTTTCAAGGTTCATATATGCTATAGTATTTGTCAGTACTTAATTCTTTTCGTGGCTGAGTAGTATTCCATTATATAGATAGACCACATTTTGTTTATTCATTCATTTGTTGATGGGCATTTGGCTTACTTCTACTTTTAGGCTATTTTTTTAAAAAATATGTTTTTAGTTGTCAGTGGACCTTTATTTTATTTATTTTTATGTGGTGCTGAGAATCTAATCCATTGCCTCACATGTGCTGGGCAAGCATTCTGCCATGGAGCCACAAGCCTAGCCCCTCCTTTTAGGCTGTTATGAGTACTGCTGCTGTGAGCCTTTGAATACAAGCTGTGATTCATTTTTATTGTTTCAAATTTTGTCACTTTGGAATGAGATATGTCCAGGTATACACTTTTGGTTCCTTTTAGAATTTGAAGACATATTTCTTTATGGCAGTAGAAACTCATAGAGCACGTCATGCAGCAGAACATATTAGATAACAGTTCAAAGATCTGTTTTTGCATCTGGGATCAATTTTAGGCAAAGCGAACTTAAAATAATTTTCTCTGTACTTTTAATTCATGATTTTCTGTTGTGTACCTAAAATATGTGTTGACATTTAAATGATGATGATGATGATGGGGCTGGGACTGTGGCTCAGTGGTAGAGCACTTGCCTAGCATACATGAGGCACTGGGTTCAATCCTCAGCACCACATGAAAATAAAATACAAAGGTATTGTGTCCATCTACAACTAAAAATAGTTTCTAAAAATTACGATGTATGTTTGGGTAAAAAAATGCAAAAACTTGAATCTATGTGATTTCAGTTAAATTCCTCCCATAGATGAATGTTTCCTCCACACCAGGCATTGTGCAAGGTGATGGGGATATAATGACAAGTAGGTTCTGTGCCCTCAGAGCACATGTGTGCAGTCTTGGGGAGGACTGGAGGGTGGCTTTGGAGATGCAGGAGGACAAGGCAGATATCCAGCATATGGAGTTTTAGGGGAGAACTCAAGCCGAACTTAAGGTGGATGGTAGGCAGGACTGGGGAAGCTTCTAGAAGGAAGTCCAAGAACAGGTTGGGATCTAAAGGAGGAATAGATAGAAACAAATAAGAGAAGGAAGGCTGGAGAAGGAGGGAGTTCCTAGGCAGGAGGTTGGGCGTGTTTAGCACATCACCTGGGTCCCTCAACTGCTGCATCAGGTGGTTGGGACTGTAACCCAAGAGCGCAAGAGGGTGTGCCTTAGAGGGTGCTGGATGAGCAGATCTGCGTTTTGGCCATTCAGAGGATGTCCTGGATCAAGAGTGGGGTCTTGTTTCCTTTCCATTGAGAGGGCAGGTCACCACTGGGGGACAGTGGCAGGCCAGAGGGTGCGAAGGGATTCAAAGAGCCACTATGGAGGACAAGGTGAGCAGGTGGGTTAGGGAAGCTGCTTTAGGGATGCTATAAAAGGTGGATATTTTAGATATGCATCACGAGACATTATGGCGGGCCCCTAGGCATATGCCGAAGCTCTGCAGTTGGGTAGCTGTGCTTCTGTGTATCCTGTGCCGCAAATGGGGTTGGGTGTATTTGAACTGAGTTGCCTCACTGTAACTAAAAATGTCAATAAGAACAAGAGCAAAAATTGCCAAAACAAATCCATCATTACAATCAAATCTGTAGCTGTGGTTGATGTCACATAATTTTCTACTTATTATTACTTTGAAATTGAAAGCCTAGAAGAGAAGTCAATGTTTCAGGAATTGAGAAGTTGTTTTGTGGGGGCAGAGAAGGGGGGAGACTTACCCGAGTTGTTATTTTGTTAATTTGCAACCATTGGGAAGCTGCAGCATCTTAGATCCCAGAGTCAGAGGGGAATTGAACCTAGGGTAGGGCAGGTTGGGGAGGCAACCCTGCTTTTCCGGGTCTAAGGAAATAATGTTCCTAATTAGGAATTGAGGCTGGAGCTGGAGATCTGGTTCAAGGTTCGAGAGCTAGAAATGGTAGACATAAGATAGGCAAAACTCGACTCCAAATGAGTGGTTATCCTGTCCCAGCAAGGTGTCCCAGAAGTGAGATGCTGAGGATCTGGACAGGGTGGCAGTGGTGCCACCTGTGTGGGACACACAGTGGTGTGGGGGAAGCCAAGCTTCATAGCATTGGCCATTGTTTCTTAAACTCCATTAGGTAAGGCGCTGTTCTTGGGCTCAGAGTAGAATCAATCTCCCTTTCTGACCTCCAGATATACTTGTCGCTACAGATGTAAATATCCCATCATGATCTGGGGAGAATAGATTCACCTACTGCTTGAGCGAGGCCACTGTTCTGGCCTGACAGATTGATTATTCGAGAGATCATTTATCTGCCCTGCATTCAGCTGGGCTTCCCTTGCAGCTCAGAGATGGGGCTGGCTTTCAGGGAAGAACCCCTGGGAGGTAAAGTCAGGCTCTTGAGATCTCGCCTCAGATGCCCAAGCCAGAACAGCTCAGATCTAGGTGGGCTTCCTTCCCCGACAACGTGGGCACGCTTCATGGTGAGCACGTGACTTTGTTTTTTCACAGAGCAATGACTTGGGGCTCTCATTGTCTCCTCCAGGTATGCACCCTTTGGCTACAGCGAGCCAGGAGGCGGAGAGCAGCCGGAAGCTGACTCACCTGCTGAATGCTGTGACTGACGCTCTGGTCTGGGTGATCGCCAAGAGCGGCATCTCTTCCCAGCAGCAGTCCGTTCGCCTGGCTAATCTCTTGATGCTCCTGTCTCACGTCAGGCACATCAGGTACCGGCCTGCAGGGGCTGCTCCACTGAGCGCATGCGCGGTGTACATGCTCAGCGCTTCGGGAAGTTGAAGGTGGCTAGTGTAGGCTTGTCACCTTTAAGAGAAACCCCGTGAAAGGGAGTGGGGATGTTCGCTCACGTGTAACCACCGATTGGCACGTAGTATTGAGTGAATGTCACAGGGCACCTTCCAGATTTTCTTGGCATCATGTGGTGTCCTGTTTTTTGGTTGCTAGGGTTTAGAGCTTTTTCATGGAGTCCTAAAAGGGGCAGTTCCTCCCCTGCAATGAACCACCACCCTGAGCCATGTTCCTGAAGAGGCTAAGTCTGATTCTCCTAGGGCATCCGTTAGGCCCGTGATTTGGGGAAGCGCACAAAGCTTTCCTAAAATTTATTTTTTCCTTTTGATGACATCAAGATATTAAGAATGAGATCTTCCAAACAAGTTTGGGAAGGCAGGGTTGTGGATGGAGCACATTCCAGACCCACATGTAAAACTGTGTGCTGGTGAAGGGGGTGGCAGCAGTGGCTTCTGCTGGTGCATGGTGTCACCCAGTAGGGTAGCCCTGCACCAGGGCTGGATGAAGGTGGAAGATAATGTCGGCTTGAGGAGCCAGGTGAGGGGCTGTGGGGAAGGATTTTAGCACGAGGGAGGAAAAAAGACCACTGTCCCCGTTTTTTTCTTTATTTCTTTTTGAAACAGCACCTATTTTGCCCAGATTGTCCTCAAACTCGTAATCCTCCTGCCTCAGCCTCCCAAGGAGCTGGGATTACAGGCATGTGCCATTGGGTCTGGCTCCTGTACATTATTCAGAGCCACATTTTTACATTTTGGGGGGGGGCAATTTCATTTAAAAAACAGCTTCCTAATGCAGTGCAGAAATGCTCTCTAAGAAAAGCTGTGATGTACCTTTTGGAGAAAATAGGTAAGTTTGCTTCAGGCATGAGTTAGGGTGCCTTTTGTTGTTGGCTGTGAGTTTGATGCTAATAAATTGACAATGTCTATTAAATAAGGCATCTTTATATAAACACACCTAAAACAAGATTGACCAGCTGATGAAAATGGGACGAGAAGTTTTTAGGAAACTGTGTATGTCCCTGAGGAGCAGTGACTCAGTATTTGCTAATTCGGTGTTTACAGTGACTTTATAGAACATGACTATGGTGAATAATTAGAATTGATTGTACCCTGTGCCATGTGCTGGGTGGGTGGTGGGACACAGAAGTCAAGACAATTTTGTTTTTGTCCTTGAGTATAAATTACTGAGAGCTGGATACTTGAGCTGTAGAGTAGGAGACTGGGGGAGTGCTTGGAGGGGGCAGTTTCGGACCTGCTCTGCGCAGGAGAATGGGGAAGATTTTGACATTCCCAACCCTACCCTCAGGGAAAAAAAATCTCAGTATCTTTTTGTCCTATAGTAACAAGGGCATGGAACATCTGCTCAGCATGAAGTGCAAAAATGTGGTTCCCGTGTATGACCTGCTGCTGGAGATGCTGAATGCTCACACGCTCCGTGGGTACAAGTCCTCCGTCTCGGGGTCTGAGTGCAGTTCAGCAGAGGACAGAAAGAGCAAAGAGGGCTCCCAGAACCCACAGTCTCAGTGATGCCTGGCCTGGAGGTAAAAAGGCCCACGTGAGGTCAAAGTCAGAAGCATGAACTTAAGCAGATTGGGAGCCTGGCCTTCACCGTATCTCCACAGAGTGGCCCCTCATCTGGGTATGGCTGCCTCCATCATGTTTGGTCCTTCCCTACCTTCCACTTCTCAGGAGTCAGAGTGAGAAAATCAGGTTTTCCTTGTACTGGGGGCACATTTGAATACAAAGTCCCATGTTACATGGCTGTCTAGGATCTCAATGTGGTCCCTTTCTTACTTTCCATCTCCATTCCACCTCTTTGAGAAATATCCTAAAGGTCTTGGAATGAATGGTGTAACTCTGACTTGGAAGTATTGCAAATTAGAACATGACATATTGATAGGAAATGGACTAACCCTTACTGTGCACTCTGTAGTCCCTTTGGAATTGACCTTTGGATGCTCTCTTCTGGACCATTTGATTATAGGATCGAAAACCGCTATGACAATCAGTTAACTAGTTTCACGTACCTACCTCACAGGCCTGTGAGGACTGATGTCATGTTCTGAGGTTCTGTCAAAGACCAAGGGGACAGTGGTTAAACTGGCATGTGAGCCTTGATCTTCCTACCAGACTTTGTTGCTCTTTTTTTGCACATATCTGTCCCTTAGTTTGCATTCATGGAGCCCACTAATTCTTTTGGTGTGTGTGATCACTTTCATGGAGGATTGTGGCAGATTTAAATTTCTCTGCCCTTGGAGTTGGGCCTTCTTGAAACTATTGTCCCAGTGTGCTTAGCATGTGTGCTACAGAAAGACCTCATGTCTGCAGGAATGGGATTCTCTTGTGGGTGTGGGTTTTAACCAGTTTTTCCCAGGGTGCTGTGAATGCAGTTTCCATCTTACATGGCAGAAGTGGCAACCATAAGTGCCACATCAGCCACCTGGGAGACACAGGAACACCATGGGTTATGGGTGCTTTTCTGTGGAAAGATGCTACACACACACACACACACATACACATACACACACACACACTAGCATGTTAGCTCTGGGGCCATGTTGTCTAGACACCACTGGAACAAGACTTGGTTTGGAAACTCTCCTTAAAAAAGAAAACTATTTAGGGGTAAGTATTTATAGCAAAAAATAATCCTTTTAACCCCTGGGGAACTCTCAAAATATTTTCTTATCAGAAAATTTATATGGTAGTCTGGGCAATATAGAAATAGGAAAGGAAGACAAAACACTTCTGAAATGACAATTTTAACTCACTTTTTTAAAAATGGAAATTTTCAGTCCAATTTTTGGAGGACACAGCCAATGTGTAAAATGTATAACAGTCATTATTTTGGAAATGAAGTTAAATGATCATGTTGATTTTTGTAGTAATGTTTTTCAAAAGTTCCTTGGAATATGGCAGTAAGTACATTTTCTTTTTGAAAATAAGTTTACTTTGGCTAGCACATCCTGTATTTACTGTCATTAGGAAGATTAAATTTCATGTCACAAAGGTTAGTTTTTGCTAGTGAAAAACCTTTAGTTCTTAATTTTGACCCTGGTGCAACTTTACTAAAAAAGTTGAGTTTAGCTGTCTTAGATACACTTGGACATTGGACACACCAAGCCTGGTAATCTGAGGCAGTTTAAAATTATTCTCAGTAACCCAAATGTGACAGGCTTAGAGAAATTCAGCACAGAAAACAAGCTTGATTTCATAAGGAAGCAGAGAAGGTCAGTTTTCTTTCTTTCTGAGCAGCCTAAAGTTTCCTACTGTAAACACACAAGGCTTGGCAGTGGGGGCAAAGAAGGCAGCCTTGAACAGTTATTTGCCAGTGAATTCTTCTATTTTATAGATGACCAGGCAAGAAAAACAAGAATAAACAATAGAATGGGTTCCAATCCATTGCCTAATGTGTACATAGCGGAGTGGATTTTTTAGGTTGAGTTTTTTCTTTTTTTAATCTTTATTTTTATGTGGTGCTGAGGATTGAACCAAGTGCTTCACATGTGCTAGGGAAGCCCTTTACCACCGAGCCACAACCCGGCCCCCTTAGGTGGAGTTTTGACACCTAAAGAAAGTACCAGATTGGACTCGGGTGGCCAAGTGCCCTTTGTGCCAAGTCCTGTGTTTCCAGTTAAGTGGGCGTTCCCTGTGATTCTTATCCAGTGGCCTTTAGTTATTTTCCACAGATTCTTCTGCCTGTTTCTCAAGGATTTAGCCAGGATGTGAATCTTTCCAGGTCTCACCTGGGTGTGCTGGCTGCACAGGTTAGCACCTTCTCACCCCAGCGCTCTGACTGGGATCTGGGGCAACCAGACGATAGAGAAAACATACTCGGTACTCAAAGGGTTTGTTTTTCATTTTGAGTATCCTAGGGCCCTCTTCCTCTTCAGATGAAGTGTTTTGAATATCTCTGCCCATCTGATCCAAATATATCCTCTAAGGATGGACTTTTTTTTTTTTTTTTTTAAATGCTTTAGGTTGCCCTTTTGATGTGCTGGTCAAATCCTCTGTGTCCATTTTAAAGATGGTAGTTCGTCTAATTCACAGTGCTTTCTTTGAAATGCCTTCATTTTGGGGATGTCTACTCTTCTTAAATAGTCTATGTCCACATTCCTCTAGGGCAGTTTGAGTTCTCCCATAGCTAAGCAGGGATCACAATGTTTTCCAAGTTCAGTTTTTAAAAGGAATTAATTAGAGCAAACAGAATCTGACAAGTGTAAACAGGAATTCGATTATTGAATGAATACAAGACCCTAACTACTTTCAACATATTTTGGAACCCTGATCCTCAGCTTTGCCTTGTATTGGTGACACAGGATTTCCTTCCTGTTTTAATTTGTAACTGATCATTTAATGTAAGAAACTTATTTACAGGAGATGAGTGAGATTTGGGCTTAATTTGAGAAACATGAGTATCTAACATGGGGTCATATAGACAAATGTTAAGGGTCACCATGGAATGTCCTTCCCACCCAGAGTTCACTCGGATTCAGATAGTGACTTACAGTCCTGAAAGAGGACCAGGGTGGACAACCTCAGGAGAGCAGTGATTTTTCACAGTGGGTTTTCTAAGGGAAGTTCCCTCTGTTCTCACTCCCTCTTTTCCATCCTCAGACCTGTCATGTACCGGACCAACTAGAAAAGATTAAACCCCAGATAATCCTGAGATTTTCTTGAAAATTTTATATGAGAACAAAAGACAGAGTTGTCAGCCAAATAACAAATTTAGAGAATCTTAATTATAGTAAAAACAGTTATTTCAGAATTAGAACAAAAAAATCAACTGCCAACTCCTGGCAAAACTGTACTACATATTCATATGTATGTGAGCTAAATGGAAGCAATTCTAGAATTTTCTAGCAAGTGAAAATAGGTGTTTGGTTCCTATTTTCATCTGCTGAGGGTCTTGAATATTTTGATACTTTTTCTAATTCAAGATGAACCTTCAGTTTCTAGTTCTATACACACATACGTACATATTTTTTGGTACTGTGGATTAAGCCCAAGGGTGCTTCACCACTGATCTACCTGCCCAACCATTTTTATTTTGGAGATAGGGCCTCACTAAGTTGCTGAGGCTGGCCTGAAACCTATGATCCTCCTGTCTCAACCTCCCAAGTCCCTGGGATTATGGGTATATGCCACGCCTGGCTTAAAACAAAATATTTTCATTAAGATTGGTATATTTTTTGCCAGTCACAGTAGTGCATGCCTGTAATCCCAGCAGCTGGGGAGGCTGAGGTGGGACAATCGCAAGTTCAAAGCCAGCCTCAGCAAAAGTAAGGTGCAAAGCAACTCAGTGAGACCCTGTCTCTAAATAAGATTGGTACATATCTTTAAGCTGCCAAAACCCTTTCAAAAAACACAATAAAGGTTATGTAAAGTAAGCCTTTAGCACTTACTTACATTCAATTTCCATAATGATTACCATGATCATAACTTTCTGGCTGGAAACTAGAGAGTCTAAGCGAACTTGTTCCAATCCACAAAGGGCAAGTAACAGAGCTGAATATAGGCAGTCCAAGTCCAGTGCTGGAAGTGATCAAGCAGTTCAACTAGTTCAAAAACTATGAAAGGGCGGGGGAGATTATATATATCTATATCTATCTATCTATCTATCTATATATATATATATATATAATCTGTCTATCTATCTTTTGGGTCTCTACCACTCACTTATATCTCCAGCCCTAGCCCCATCCCAGTAATTTTAAACTGCAGAATCCATTTATCAAAAGCACTCTGACATGCATGGCTACTGTGACTTAAGTGGGACCTACTGATGACACAGTATACTCCTAATACCTACTACAACCCTGTAGACACAGTTAACAGCTTGGAAACCTCTGACACAGAAATTCAGTTCCACCTTTTCTTTTTTGGGGGTGTGGGTGGGTGGGTACTGGGGATTGGACTCAGGGGCACTCTACCACTGAGCCACGTTCCTGGCCCTCTTTTGTATTTTATTTAGAGACAGGGTCTCACTGAGTTGAGGCTGGCTTTGAATTCGTGATCCTCCTGTCTCAGTCTCCGGAGCTGCTGGGTTTACAAGCCTGTGCCACAGCACCCAGCTCCAGTTCCATCATTTATACATGTGTAAATGAAATTCCCCAGGGGATAACTGACCTGCTTAAGGTCATACTTACCATGGAACCTGGAATGGAATTCCAGTCTGCTTGTCCAGCTAGCATTATTGCTGCAGGATTCTGCTTCTTGAGCTGAATCTCAGTAGGATGGAAAGATGGTTAGTCAGTTAGGGTTGCTTGTGTTGTACCTTCAGATCCTGCCTTCTCAGCTTGGATGGGGTCTGCATGAATTCTTACAAGTGGCAGCAGTGGCAGGCAGAAAAAAAAAAAAAGATGTACTATATTATTCCTCTCCTCTTCCTGGGCTCACAGGCCAGAAGGGACCATCATCACCACCACTATCTACCTATTACTACTTTCCCCAAATGTGTCAAGCTGAGTATATTCCTTGGAAATTCACCCATGTAGAAGTCTCACATCTCTTAGGCATGAATACTTTCCTGTAGCCCTTAATACCATATTGTGAAAATACAGGCATCTTCATAGCTCTTGAGCTCACTGGAATTTTGGCTCCATGTTTGTGGTCTCTGTGATATATAAATCTATCAGCCTTTTTTGTTGTTCATGAGTCAAGGATTTTTTTTTTTTTTAATGCCAAGGATCCTAATTCACTTATAGGACCAGCCAGTTGATGGTGGGTTTCCTCTCTGGGAAGGACAGATGTCCAATGGTGTCTGAATGTCATATGAGTATTGGTCCTATAACTATATTCTTCAATGGTCCAGTGTACCTCAGAGTTTGTTGCTTGGCTCTAATTTGTCATTTTTGGGGGGTGATGCTTTGTGCCCTTGATTTGTTGACTCCCGTTCACAGGCTTTCAAATGCGGACTTTTCAAGAAATGAATGTGTGATGTTGTGTGGAAGCAGACTTGGAGACTTGCTTTCCATTCCTCTGAGTAGCGCTTTTTCCTTACTGTGTCCTTCCAATGTCTATGGAACCACCCGCAGAGAAAAGTTTAATGTGACATAAATAAAGTGATTTCCTAATTTTTGTGACGTATTTGTTGGGCATATAAGAACTTATAATTGGGCTAAATGGTGTCTACATTCTACTGTGAATTCTGAGTTTATAGAGCCCTCTGGAAATTTGATGACGACCATGGGCGCATTCTTCCTTTATGAGATCCATAAACACAAATGCCTCATTTCAGAAGAGTTCATCTCTGCCTTCATCTCCAGCTTCTTCAACAAGAAACATTTAATCTTTAGTCATTAAATCATTTGTGATCTGACCACAGGTAAGTGTGTATGAGTAAAATGAAGCCCACAAAATGTCAAAGTCCTGGTGTGCAAGGCATCAATTATCTGGGTAGATTTTCTGTAATGACCCCTTCTGAGTCATTTAGTATCATACCCTTCAGGAATGCAGGGGAAAATAATTCATTCATATTGAAATTATCTTTGAGTCAATGGTCACTTGAAAATTTCCCCCACAAGTGGGGATGGAAAGATGCAAATATATTTGCAGCAATATAAAACATTATCTCAGAGCTAAGTGTTTTTGGGAATACACTGAGTTTGAGGTGAGGGAAGGCAGCAGTGGTTTCATCAGAGTTGGGGGTGACTAAACTCAAGACTTAAAGATCTTTACCTTGAGGGAGTGTCCACAATTGATATGCATAACTAGGCTTTGAAATGCAACCAGCACTTTGACCAGCCTCAGGGCATTCTGCCCTTAGGGCAGAATGGAAGATGGAGAGGGAGATAGGAATTTTGTTCTTCCTCTCAGGCTAAAATGGAGCAGGAACTCTCTAAGCAACTCAGTGCCTTAAGGAAAGAGCTGTAACATTTTTACTTAAATTAATGTAATCCCAGAGAAATTTATGAAAAAGGTGAATTATTTGGTACTGGGAATTGAACCCAGGGCACTTTACCACTGAGCTTCATTCCCAGCCCTAATTTTTTGAGACAGGGTCTAAGTTGCAGAGGTTGGCCTTGAACTTGTGATCCTCTTGCCTCAGCCTCCAAACGCAGAAAATGACCCATTTTCATATCTATCTCTAGATACTCGAGATGCAGGTGTGGAACTGGGTAACTTCAAGGCAGCAGAAATGCTGGGGTTTACCTTCTTTGTTTTGGCAGAAGGCAGACAGTGGTGCTGGAATTGTATGGAAGGCAGGTGGCTTTGCCTGAAACATTTGTTAAACACTTGATTACCTGTCACAGGTTGAGCATGCTTCACCCAAAAATCCAAAATCCAAAACTTTTTGAGCACTGAGAGCACTAACATAATGCTACAACTGGATTCTGCACAGTGAAACTTTGTTTCATGTGCAAAATTACTTAAGATATAGCATAAAATTACCATCAGCCTCTGTGGATAAGGTATATACGAAATATACCTTTTTAGACTTGGTTCCCTTCCCCTATATATCCCATTATGCATATGCAAATATTCCAATGCAAAAAGAGCTTCAAATCTAAAATATTTCTAGCTACAAGCATTTTGGATAAGGGATATTGAGTCTGCAATTCATTCCAGAAAGAGATGTACAAAAACTGGGTCATATGGTCTTTATCTTTTGTGTCCACCTTCCCTTTGGGACTTTCTTCATCTACTCCCTATTAGCACCTGAGATCATACATTGAGTCATTGACACATATACAAGGGTCCTTCCTCCAGACAGGGTGAGGTTTCTAGATCTCAAACAATCCTGTACAAAGTTAAATAAGTAGAATATAAATTTTAGCTTAGAATAAAAAGCCCCTTATAATATTTTAAAAACAATTTTTGTTTAATAGAAGACTGCCACTGACCCACTTTGTGATATAATTCAGTACAACAGTTTGGCTAATTTTTTTTTTTTTAATGAGAAACATCTGAGTTGTACATACCACAGACAGCTTCAAGTTTCTGTACCAACCCCCGCCCCCCTGGCAAAATGGTTCAACCAAACCTGAAGCATCTCTTTAAACATTGAAAACTTTTATAAAATTAACTTACAAAAACATCCCTATCAAGTTTGTAGTTTGGCGTTTACTGTACATTAGTCAAAAGCTCAAGCTAAAATCTGATTTTTAAAAAAATCCAAGTTTACATTATTCATAGATTCAGCATTGTTAAAAAATATGCACAAATAACCACATCCATGCAATAAAATTTCTTTAAAAATTTAAAGCAATATAAAAGAGCAGATCTAGGTACTGAGCTGAACATTTTGGTTTATAACTGGTAGCTCAAGATCACTAGCTGATTGGAAGAAAACTGATTCTAAACATTTAAAATATGATTGTTTCAGTCAATCAGCTCGGTGCATATGAATTTTGGAACCATTTCTAAGGTGGGATCTGCTTGTTTCTCTAATATATATTCTGTGATGAATGCCACTGCTCATGGACCACGTTAGCTATGTTATAATAATGCTGTTTTACAAATAAGTCAGAATTTACAAAGTGCGAGACTCTTAGGAAAACTGCCCTTTCCAGAGTTCCCTCAACTAATCAACTAGCTTTGCCCAAATGCCCTGGGTAATTGCTGCAACAGTTCCCTGTCCCCAAGGAAGGACTTCATTTGAAAGCTGCCCTGGAACCCCAAGAGCCCATTCTGGACAAGCCCAGAGGTGGGTGTCCACGGCAGGTCCCTGGACATTCCCAGTGCTAAGAGTCACTCACACATTGGTCTGGGGCCACAAGCTGGGCACCCATAGCAAAGAGGCTGGTGTTATGGTGCTGGGACTGGCTGAGCCCTCTAGGTCGGGGGAGGCCCATTGGTGTACCGCAGCATGGGGTAGAAAGAGCGGGCGAAGTTGTTGGCCTGGGTGCAGCTGTAGTCCTCTTCGGAGGAGGGCAGCAGACAGGCCAGGAGCAGCAGCAGCAGCAGGAGCAGCTGTAAGGGCAGTGCTGCCCTGATCACCCTGGAGAGGAAGGAGCGCTGTGGCCGTGAGCTGCCGGGGCCAGACATCCTGCCAACAGAGGAGAGCTGATCAGCAGGTTCCAGAGGACACACTCACCTGCTCCCCTGACCCTCTGCTATGTAAGCAAGAAAATCTGGGGTGAGAGAGCCAAAGGCAGCCAACAGCTGGGGTCCTGTTTTGGAAGAGAAACCCTAGCAGTTTCCAGGAGAAAGAAAAGCAGATTTCTACAAGGACCTGCATAGTGGCACTGGCAGAGCTGGCATAGTGACTGTGAACCCTGGGGAGTCACTCCTGTGACTGTGAGGTCATTACCTGCTGTCTGTCTCATTCTCATCTTCTGAAGTTCTCTCTGCTCTGACCTGCTGGGAAAAAGAAGCCAAAGAGTAAGTTGAAGACAGTTTGGTCCTAAAGTGATACACTTCTATAGCTCGTCTTCCTGCCACACTTAAGACTAGACTAAGACACCTGAGATTCAACAATACTGAGTAAGAAATAATTGGGTTTGTTAAACTATCATGTTTGTTGATCTGATTTGAGGGAGAAATCAGGAAACCCCTTTAACAAGGGCCCTCGTATTTTACAATCTACTATGATCCCAAACTAGTGTAACTGAGTAGGAGACAATCTTTGAGTCAGGTCTTTTTAAAAAAGTATATTTTAATGTTAAAAAAAAAATCTTTGGAGGAAGAATTTCTTTTGATTAGAGTTAAAGCAGATCTGTGCTGTCAGGAACTGTCTAAAGGGGTCTTGGAGTTCCAAGTTTCTGTCATCTCACGAGTGTATGGGGCTGGGGTTGTGGCTCAATGGTAAAGCGTTTGCCTAGCATGTGTGAGGGACTGGGTTCGATTCTCAACACCCCATACAAATAAATAAATAAAATTAAAAATAAACAAAATCACGACAGTGGTTCTGACAGAAGGCAGGGGCTCTCACCTTCGCTTGGGGAGCTGCCATGGCTGCTGCAGAAGGCTGGTCCCCGGAGTCTACCTCATCAAAGTTGAGCAGAGATGGGTCTGAGTTCTGAAAGCCACACCCCAACAGTTCAGTTCAGAATAGTCACAAGAGCACAGAACCATGCTTCACACAAGTCTTCTAGGCCCTGCTCCCTCCCCGAGCCTACAGCTCCTCCTGAGCAGGCTCCTTCCCTTGCTCTCCGCCCTTGACTCGAAACCTTTTCAGACAAGAGAGAACATAACCAGGGCAAGGCCAGCCATGTGCACCGATTCCAGCTGACCAGGGGCTCACCAAGGTCACTGTGGCCATCGAGACATCGAGTCTTGGGTGTACAGGACGAAGTAGAACATTCTAGAGTAGAGGGACCTGTCCCAAGTTTGGGGAGCCCACAGCCTGGGTATTCCTTTGGTTCTAAATTTTATCCCATTTTAAAGAGAGGGAAGTTAAATAAATTAGAGAAGTGGTGAGAACCAAGGGACCAGGACAATAAAGAGGACATGAAACCTCTGAAGTGAGTGGGGTGATGTGGGAAGACCAGGCCCTCATCCACTAAGGCAGATGTCAAGGGAAACTCTCAAGAAACAGCACTATTGAGATACAGGCGAGAGTGAAGCCTCGCGTCTGATCCATCTGAAGGCAGAAATGATGGCGGATGGCTGCTTTCCATAACCCCAGCCAGGACAGTTAAGGCAGTTACCTTGCTCTCTCCTTTTTCACATACAGAACACATGTGAGGAGCTTATGCAACTTGTATGGCCACACTCCACTCAGACCACCTGCTCTCTCCTGGTCTCCTCGCCACAGTAGGGCTACACACCCTGCCTTCTGTCTGCCTCTACTGTGACATCTTAACCCATAAAAAAGCCACCAGGGGACTCACCTGGCTTCCCCGTAAGGACATTAAATCTTGGGATACTTGTTCTCGTAACTGTTTGAGTTTTTTCTGGATGACATGGACCTTCTCTTCAGCTTCAATGTAGTCTTCTCCATGCCCCTTAACGAGAAGGCTGGTGGAGAGCTCCTGTAGGGAGTTGACTTGAGGCTGACGTTCCACTAGTTCCTTTTTCAGTTGCTGAAATAAAAAGTGTGTGAAATAGTTATCCAAAGAGAAGATGGTGTGGCCACCCGAGGCTTTCTCAGTTCCCGATGAATGCTGAGCCTTCTACTTTGCCTGTGTCCTCAGTCCAGCACTGTTTAGAAAGCAAGCAGGTTGCACCCTGTCCCCTGCTTTTTTATTCCTTTCCACTCTGCAGATAATTATGATGCTGGAGAAATCAGAGGAAAGGAATGAGTGGGGTGGGGTAGGAAGACTTGAGCATCCAAAACTTTGGTACCTACAGGAGTCCTGGAACTATGTCCCCAGGCCTTATGTTTTTCAGGATGTAATTTATTTCAGAAGTACCTGGGATTGAACCTAAGATCTTATGCACTAGGCAAGTGTGCACGAGGCTCTACCACTAAGCTCCACCCAGCTCTTCTGATATTCAGACAGTGTCTTGCTAAGTTGCCCAGGCTGGCCTAAAACTTGCAATCCTCTTGGCTCAGCTTCCTGAGTTGCTGAGATAACAGGCCTGTAACGCCATGCCTGTTGTGTCAGGGTATTATAAACACTCATGTCCCCAATTCCTGAGAGTCTGAAAGACTCTATCTCTTCATCTCTGCAAGTCATTGTGCTTCATGATTACAGAGGGCTGCTTGGTGGACAGCAAAGGGAACATGAGGGCCGAACTCCTGAGTCACAGCTCAGTCACAGTCACAGCTGCCTCTGGCACTGTCAGTGCCCGGGAGCACTCTGACCAGCTGGAGCAGCCAGCAGCCAGTGACCTGCAGAACCCTGGAGAAGGGAACTTACCATTAGTTCTTTCTGGCACTCCTGGAGGACCTGGCGGTTTGCCTTTGGAGTGGTGACATGAGCCTTCTGCCTCCGGTTCTCAGCACTTGCCAGCCACAGGAGCAGGTTTTGACTTAATTCGTGGAAATCCTTAAAAAACAACATAATCTAAGCACTGCGCCTTCTGGGCACCATGGGAGAGGAAGTGCCGAGAAGGCTGCAGGCTGCTTCTCAGCCATCAGTCACCCATTCTTCTAAGACAGTGAATAAAAGGGCCACATCTCAATTACAGTACAAGGCCTCAAACCAAGCCAAGGGGAGGGCAGGGGGAAAGTGCTAGCAGAAAGGAGGGGCTTCAGATCATCCTCAACGAAGAGACCATGTGCATTCTTCAACAAGTTCACTGGGCTCCGTGGCTAAGGGAGCTGGCCCAGGCTGTGGTGGGCTCTGTTCCCTAAAATGGGGTCACAGCTAAACAGCAATGCAGTGTTAATAAATGCTGAGCACTTATATGTCAGGCACCGGGCTAAGATGACACACACCACCTCATTTAGTTCTAAAAAGGACCTGGGAGACAGGTATTAAAACGATGCCCATTTTTTAGATGAGAAAACCAAGACTGGGAGACTCAGTGATTTTGCCTAAAGTCCAAAGCTATGAAGTCGTACACCTGGATTAACTGTTCCTGTGGTCCATGACCAGGTCTGCCAATTACTCTGGCAGAAGGACAAAGATGGGGCAGTGTTGGGGTGGCATTCCCAACCTACAAGAATGTTTGCTGTGACCCTTACAGGTCACAGGGGGTGGGTGAGGCCAGGAGACTCAAGGCGAGCACTGTGTGTGTGTGTGTGTGTGTGTGTGTGTGTGTGTGTGCGCGTGTGCGTGCACTGGGGTGCATGACTCTTTGGAAACACACAGTAAAGCACACATTTCCTAGTACAAGTCACATTTGTGCTAAAGCAGTCTGATGATAATAAAAATATCTGCTGCTCCCACCACATGGGCCTGGCCGCTGCCGGAGACAGGGCCTTGGGCTGAGTCAGCATACCTGGCACTGCATGAGTGACTGCCGCAGGTCCCCTCTCCAGCTGTCCACTGCGCCCTGGACTGCTTCCCAGCGCAGGCCCAGCTGGCGGAGTCTACTCTGGAGCTCTGTGGCTTCGGTGCTCTCAGTTGGCAGAGATTCCTTGCCGCTCACATTGACAGAGACCATTAATGCCTTGTAGTTGTCAAAAGCTTTTAATATCTCCTGCCACAGAGGGAAATGAGTGGGCTAAGTGCTCTGGAAAAGGCGGGGCTCCTTTGAACCTCAGTAGGGAGCAGGCCTTCCACACACTTCTCCGGGCTGTGGCTACTGAAACGCGAGTGACCTCGCTTGTGACTGGCTGGGAAACATCAGGTGAGGGAGCTGCCTTATAAGGCCAGGGAACCTGGCACACTAGCCCGCACGGCCCGACAGCAGAGGCTGGTCTCCTTGCTGGTGGACTCGCTGGATTAACTTCATGCCTGGAGGCATGAAGCGACCCCGTTGACTGCCACAGCCCTTGCTGTGTGATGGATTTAATAAAATTTCTGGACCCAGATTCAAAGTCTTTTGGATAAAGTATATATCATTTTTCTACCTCCAGATATCCTAGAAATGTTATTTCTAAGATGAATGGGAATCCCTGATATACAAACACACAAAGCAAACTAAAAGTACATATATGAAGAGTGCTTGGATACCCCAAGACCCCTTGCCCAGGGTCTCTAGAGCTCAGGCTTGTGTTCGGAACACCTCCAAAGTACAGGGCTTGAACTGCCCCTACTCTGCTCCCTAGGCTGGTACAGGTGGAGCCCAGGCTGATTATGGGGTGACAAATCCCAACAGTATAGTAGGGTGACCAAATCAGGCCACAGGATCTACCAACCTGGAACTATACATATAGTTCAGACTTAAAGGTGCTGGACAGTGGCCACCAGCACCTCCACAGTCTCGAGGTAGCTGGGTACAGTGGTATCTGCCTGTAATCTGAAGTCTGTGGCAGGAGGGTTACAAGTTTGAGGCCAGCCTTAGCAACTTAGTGAGACCCAGTCTCAAAAAAGAAAAAGGCCTAGGGACACAGCCTAATGGTTAAGTGCCCCTGGGGTCAATCCCCCATAATATAAAAACGACAACAACAGAAAAGTCTAGAGGTGCCTGGGAAATCAGATCTGTCCATCCCTGGGGAATCTGAGCTATATCTCTCCAGCGCTGCTCTGGGTTTCAATCATTTGTAGATACTGTTCCATGTAAAAATAGAACTCTGCGACCTTGTCAGTTACAGAAGTGACGTGAAACAGGCTGACCTCTACCACGCTCCATCTGTGAGCTGCCATCTACCCAGCCCAGCAGTGCATTCATGTGCCTGTTCTCAGCTCCTCTCCCTCCGGGCCTCCAGCTCACCTGCAATCTCTTCACTCTGGGTTCCATTTCCTGGATGTTGGAGGGAGGCTTTGCCATCTTTAAAGTTTCAAGCTCTGCTTCAGTTTTTCCCAGCCAAGCAGTGATGGCGCTGATATTAGAGTTCAGCTGCTGCATGTTTTGTTTCATTCTGAGTTTACTGTGAAGCTCTTGTGCTTGAATCAGTTCCCATCTGTCAAAGGCACCTGAAACAAAGGCACCAATTTAAAAAAAAGCAATAATGCAGACAGACTTCTCTGGCTGAAGCTACTAGGTAGGGGTCAGCGTGGTAAAAGTGTGTGGGCCGCACGCCCCTTGCAGGAGGATCTGGGTAGGGTTGTTCTCTTTTCCAGAATATGGCACAGCGCATTTCTCTGTGCCACACTCCCAAAGGCTGGAAAGAGGCGGGGACTTGGGGAGGAATGGGACCGATGTGTGCTCTGGTCGCCTGCTCAGCATCTCAGTTCTCTGTTTCCTCCTTTGGTCCACACACAATCACTCAGAGCATCAGCTTCACTTTAGATTTCGCTGAGCAAAAACTTTGACAGTTATTGGTCTGGTCTAATGAGGGGACACTTGAGAACACTTTATCACCTTTATTTTGATTTTTTTTTTTTTGTTCTTGGGGTTTGACCCCCTTGGGCCAATTCCCCGGTTCTTCCCCCCCCCACCTGCCTTTTTAATTTAGAGACAGGGTGTTTAGAGACACCTGTCTCTAAATAAAAACTAAGTGCCTCACTAAGTTGCTGAGGCTGGCTTTGAATTCAAAATCATCCTGCCTCAGCCTCCCGAGACTTCACATTTGATATATATATATATATAAAGTCATTAAAAACTTCATCATAGGAGGCATATTTTGTCAATGTTTAAAGAACAGTTTCTAAATTAAAATGAATAGGGACTCATAAATACAAGTTATTTAATCTGAAAATAATATTGGCTGTTGTAGAGTAAGTTTAATAGTTTTGGTGAATCATATGTTGATCAATTCCTAATTTTGGGGGGGTGAGTGCTGGGGATTGAACCTTTACCACTGAGCTATATCTCCAACCCTTTTAATTCGTCCAGACTGGCCTCCAACTTGTGATACTCCTGCCTCAGCCTCTGGAGCTCCTGGGATTATAGGTATTCACCACTGCACCCAGCTTAATTCCTAATTAATATTCTGTCGGGTGATGTTTCAAATGCTCAGCTCAGCCCAAATACCACACACAACCTCTCTGATAGCCGCCGGCAGAGCAGTACCTGATGGCTGTCCTGTTAGGGTGGCCAGATGCTCGTCTTCCTGCTGAGGGCTGCCATTCAGGACTCTTGGACTTTCTTTTCCACCATCAGTGCCTGGATGTAATAGCAGCTTTCCCTAGAATGAGTCAATTTTTAAGTTACCATCTATAAAAGTTAAAGTTTTCTGAAGAATGACTGGGTTCAGACTCATAGGCAAGAAGTAAGGGTACGGGGCCCTTTGCTTTGAAGGGCCACTCTCTAGTAATATGGAGGTGGCTTCGTACGTGGTTAGCATTTATAAGCAAACAGAGCCGAGTGGAGAAACAGAGCCTCCGCAACAGGGGCTGGGGCTCAGTGATAGAGCGCTCATCTAGCATGTGTGAGGCACTGGGTTTGATCCTCAGCACCATTTAAAAAAAGAATAAATAAAATAAAGGTATTGTGTCCATCTACAAAAAAAAAAAAAATTGAAAAGCCTCTGCAGCAGCCCAGGAAAGGGCAAGATGGCAGCAATGGGAATAAAATTAAATTTGCATGCTTCAAGGTCCCCAGGAGAACTGTGGGAAGAAATCTAAAAACAATCTCTGTGCTTACCGTGTGGGCACGTTCACATTTCCACAGCATTTTCACTATCCCTCCCATCTCCCTACTGAGGTGGCTGGACAAACTGCCTCTCAGGGTGTGTGTCCTTCACAGCACATATTCACTGGCTCTCTATTATCACAGAGCTGAATGGACTATATTACTCAAGCCTTTGCAAAAATAAAAAGTGTTTCTTTTAAGAAAACTATCCTTCCTTTTTTTTTTTAGATTGAGTCCATGTGGCCTATTTGTGTGGAATGAACAAATTTTTAAAATCCTTCAAATTTGTGGGGACATGCCTGCTTCAGACACAACAAAAAGGTTTGAGTTTTTGAAATTGGCCAGATGAAGGACACGAGAAGTGTAATGGCTTGGGAGAAGCAAACCACATGGGCCCAGGGTATGTGACGCACAGGTCAAGCGCTGGGTCTCTTCCCCCCATCTTATCTCACACCAGAAGGGCAGATTAAGTGAGAGCTACTTGCCAAGCAAAAGGAAGTATTTCTGAACTATATGTGGCCAGCCCATTGTTAAATGACTGGGATTGAATGTGTGAAGATGATCCATCTCCAAGTGTGCAGCCATAGTCACTCCTAGACAGAGGGCACTCTGACTAAATCTCCTGATGCTTACATTGCTGTTGGTTTCTCTAAAAGATGGTATTAAGATAAAAGGGATGCTTTAATTTTAATTCTCTTGTCACTAATCCTCTGTACTAAGAATGTTCTGTGGCCCATAGTAAACTCTAGGCTGTCCCCCACTTGCCCAGCCGGAGCATGCTAAGAACTCATGTAACTGAGAAGGGACAGATGCTGTGACTACCCCCCTCCCCCAATATGGCAGCAGTAATGATGACCTCCACTCCTGCAGGTCTTCTTTTACCTTTACACACATCAATCTTAGCAACAATTATGCAAGGAAGGGTTATCCTTGGGTGAGTCAAGCTCACAGAGGCAAGACAAAGTGCCTTAGGTTCTGCAGTCATGAACTGGCAGGGCTGGGAACCCAAGCCACCATCCACCATGGCCTGCCATCAAGTCTAAACATGAAGTCATGGTGTTTTGCTTAGGATGTGGTCAAGAGGTCAGTTTAACATGGGAAAGGGTCCTGGGGAGGGAGAAAGGGAAGGAAAGCAGGGATACCAGGGAATGAAACAGATCAATTTATGTGTTGTGCATGTATGAATATATCACAATAGGTCCCATTATTATGTATAATTATAATGCACCAATTAAAAAAAACAATAAAAAAGATAAACATAACCAAGGCTTGAGAGCTCAGGAGCAGTTCAGGAAGCCCAGTAACTTGTCTCTTTAATTTTTACATGGAAAACTGATAAAACAGAAACAATTACTACTATATTATGTCAACGTACACAAGATACTTTTGGCCAGAAACCTCTCTGGTCTGTTTGCCAGGGTCCTAATGGAGCATGGATGGACAGTTTGGCAGAGATTTTTTTTTTTTTTTTTGGTAGTGCTAGGAATCACCCAGACGTTGGGACCTTGGGCCATGCTAGGCAAGTGTTCTACCACTGAGCTTTATCCCCAGTCCCTCAGTAGAGCAACTGTCCCATGAGAAAACCAATTCAAGATGTGTCTAGGGAGTGAGCACATGTAATTTGCACCAAAAATCTCTCTTAAATTTTAACTCTTACTCATACATTTGGGTTACATTCCCAGGAGAGTCAAGACTTACATAGGCTGATTTGTAAGGGGTGCTGGAACCCGAGGGGATGGGTGGTACATTCCTGTCACCTTCCATTTGTTTGTAGTGATGCTTGGGACAGGAAGGGCTGTCAGGAACATGCCACGAGTGGCCATCAGAAATGGATTTACCTGAAACAAAAAGTTGCAAGTGATGGTCTATTTTGCAAACAAAGGATTCCTCTTTAGTGACACAAAGCAGGTCATGGGGAATATGGCATCAGGTTATAGTGTCAAGATGAGTTCCTCAGCTCTCCTTGCAAAGCATGCATGTTTGCAAAATGTCAGTATGTCTCAGGAGGGGATGAGATGAGTCATGCAGCTGAGCGGCATCGTGCTGCACTAGATGGGATCACAGTGGAGCACAAGGAGCATGAGTGGCTGTGGGATGAGAGGCATTTTGAATGGAGCTGGTATCTTGAGTAGGGGGGTGGAACTGGGTGGCCAGGTTGGATCTGGGGGCCAAGAAGACAGAAGGCCTCTTGGAATTGAGGGGAAGGGGTGACCTTGAAGATGGACTGGAGACCCCAAGGGCTGCTGCTCATGGCTCTCCCCCACCACAGAGTGAAAGATAAAGGTTAGAGCTGCAAGTCAAAGAAAGGAGGTTGTTTTTTTCTCCTGCAGCAGAGGCAGGGGTACCCTCACCCCCACCCACCCAGCCCAGTCCCTGGAAATGGTCAGAAGCAAGGAAATAGTTCCAAACCAAGCCACCAAAAAGAAAAGCTTGGTCCATGCCAAAGGACTTCAGTTAGATGGAGGAAATGAAAAAGGGCATCATGAAAAAATTCCTCCTACATAGCCCTGCGGGGAGGAGGGCCGGCATGGAGATGCTCTGGTGAGGGCAGGGAGCACGCAGATATGGGTGAGTAAGGCAGTGTAAATACACCATGACACGAGGACCAAGGCGCATGGTGTCCACAGAAGGCACAGGGCAGACGGGACATGGGAGCGAGGGTTAGGATGCAATATGCGTCACGGGACTCTGCCATGTGGAGACGTGCACGGGCAGGGGCCTACCAGAAGATGCTTTCAAAGTTTTTGTGGTCATTTTAAGATAGGCCTCAGGATTTTCAGGGATTTCTACATCTGAAAAAGAATAATGTCATTTTCCTCACTGGACATGCCTGCAGATTAATGCCCAAGTAGTAAGTTAACAGTTGTGAAACATTGTCAGCTGAAAGGAGGAAACTAACTACTCTATCTTTTTTATTAGAAGAGTTTTGAAACCAGGAGTTTTGTTTTGTTTTGTTTTTGTTTTCTTTTTTCCCCCAGCTGACCTCTGATTGCCTGCTGCAGTGGTGGAGGGAGGGGAAGTTCTGTAGAAAGAACAGAGATGCTCAGTCTACTGAGGCTCCGAGAAACTCCATTGAAAAGTTAGCTGAGGAGTCTCCCCAACAGCGAGAGCCATCTGTGCGTGGCTTTAATGTCTGTAGGTCAATTTTTTGCTTTTTCACCCTTTCACTGGCTTATAGGAATGAGCCAGTTCTCAGGTAAGTCAAAAGGTGGACAGGACAGAACCCAGGAAGCTATAGAAATCTGTCTGGGTCGGCCACAAGCTAGACATCAAGAGCTGCCCGTGTCACTAGGGTGCTAGGAACACAGCCAAATGGGTCAATTTCTAGGACTCTGGGGATCTGCCATTACCTGAGAGCGCACTGTAGTATGGACCTTCCTCATCTTCTTCGTGAGAGGAGGAGCCCCCCACGTCACCTGTGTGATCCCACTCCAGAGGGATGGAGTCCACACTGACAGGGGTCTCACAGCCAGACCGCTCGTGGCTCAGAGCAGGGGGCACAAGATGGCACAGGGACTGGGGAGACGAGGGTTCCTCGCTCTCTCCCCTTTTATGCCAAGAGTCGGTCTGGATTTCTCTGGGGTCTTCCATGTCTGTTTCGGTCTCAGAAGCTTCCTTTTCATCTTCCAAACCCTAAAGGGAGGAGTATCCAGCTTTTAGAATTAACCAGTTCAAGGGCAATTCACTTAGAAGGAGCCCTGGAAGTCTGCCTGGCTAGCAGCCATCACCAGCATTTCTAAGGCTGATTCCAAAAGAACTGTACCCCCAGGCTCTGCTTATGGTTATTTGCGTTTAGCCAATCTAGAATGGGGCTAGAATCTGTATTTTTGCAAAAACTCCAGCTATTTCCAAGATAGAAAGCTGAGGTATATAATCAAACTTAAATAACTTTATCTGGAAGGTAGGGGAAAGGCCGAGCAAACTTTCATGTTAGTAGCAAATTCCTCCAAGAATCAGAAAGTTTAAAAAACAAAACAAAACAAAAACAACTTCAAATCTGCCAACAAAACACCAGAAAGGCACAGATATTAAAAGCTTTCACCCATTAAGAAACACATTCCCCAAATTTGTAATAAAAAAACCATAACAGTTTTCAATGAATTCTCGGGGTACCATCATGTGCCGGAGGAGCCCTGTACTGAGGAATACATTGAAAACAGGTCAGAGGAGGAGGAAGTTTTAGAAATATCATCCTCTCCGCTGGGTAGTGGGGACTTGGAAGTAATCACAACTCTATTTAATAAAAGCAGAAATGAAAAATTTCAGCCTAGGCTCAGTGATTTTTAACCATAAAAATCAATCAGCTGAACCTCTACAAAACTGACATCCCAATTCTTTAAGCGGTTGGTGGAGCCCTGGGCAGGTCGCCTTGCCCTTACCGGAGCGTGGGAGGTCAGGCGCCGGTGGAAGCGAGAGACCCTGCCAAACACCTCCTGGCAGTACCGGTGCAGCTCCTCCAGCTCGTCCTCAATCAGCACGGCATCTAGGGGCTCGCTCTTCTGAATCAGCTGCTCCCCAAACACGATGAGCTGGTCGATCTTGTTGGTATTTAACGTAATTTCCTGTTGGAAGCCCTATTTAGAGGATGAGAAAGAGAAGACTTCAAAAGGAAGAAATTTGGCCCCCGGGCGTCCAGTGCTATGTTCAAACAGGGCCTTAGGAAAAGGCGTGTCATTTTGGTTTTGTTCCTATTTTCATTTTGTCTTGTACCCAGGACTCCAGCTTCATCAATTTTTAACCAAGTGACAATGATGATTTAATTAGTTTAAAAAGGCTGTCTATGTATTTTTTTTCCTCCTCTTTCTGGGCACCGATTTTTTTCCAATTAATAAATTCTAAGGGTTTGACATCCTTGGGTGTGAGGGGAGGAACTCCTCTGGTTGATACTGGGTGAACACAAGAACATTTCCTATAATAAGCAACCAATGGGCATCTGTCTGCCTCAGGTGAAATAATAATGTTTATGGGGGTGCCATTAGGGGAGAAAGATTTTCATTTCTCATTTTCTTCTAAAGTCTAGCTAAGGAGAGAACAACCGTGAGATAAACCTAATATAGATATTGGTTAAAATCTGTTCTTGGCACCACCAATGATAGATTTCCCTTTCATTATACCCAATTTGAGTGCTAGAGAAACAGCATTGTATGATGTTTCTATTTGGAACCTAAAGCAAATTCTCCCCTTGGATGACTTATAAGTGGCCATCAAAAAGGGGGAGGGGGCCTCATTCCAATGACTCCTCAACTACAAGGATTCGTGTCCTTGCTCATGAGAACCCAGTAATACATAGGTAAGATGCAACCTAGCTGCTCAAAGAATTCTGGAATTGGCTCTTAGAGCATCAGGTGAAATCTGTGCTTGGCCAGGGCTCCTCCTCAAAGCTGCCATCTTTGAAGAGGAGCTGAGGAAGCAGCCCTTACATTCAGCTGGCGCATTTTGTCATCAGCATCGCTCTCGGAGAAGTGCTCCACATTAGTTAGCTGCAGGTCCATCTCTGTGAGCCACACCAGAATGCTCTCCCTGGTGCCCTCGAAGTCCTCCCTCTGGTTGGTGAAATGCTGCAAAGGGGAAGAAATCAGATCTGTACTGACCTTGGGAAAAAGTTCAGGTAGTCATCACCTTTGGCTCAAAGGAAAGGGTGCCCGAGTGCTCGGGAAGACTTGTATCGGGGTGCCCAGGAAGCCTGAAAGCACTGTACACTGCAGCCTGGGTCCGGTCCTGGCTGTGATACCGAACAAGCCCCCAACCTCTGAGCCTTGGTTTCTACCCTAGCAAATGAGGGAAGTGTGGGAATGTTGATTAGGATCTCAGCGGTCTTTTCAAACACTTGAAATTCTGTAATTCTTTAAGTCAGGGATTTTCCCCTGTCCACTGAGGAACCCCTTGAGAGGCCGGGCCAGGCACGGCAGATTTAGCAGCAGCTTCAAAGATAGAAAAGTGCAGATTGCAGGGCTGAACCTGGATGACTGACTGCCCCACTTGCCTTTGTGTAATTCTGAGCATGTTGGAGACCCAGAGGAGATGCGTCACCTCCAGTTCAGGAGGCTCTCAGATGGGCAGCCAGTTTCCAGAGAAATGTGGCATTCAGAGCCAAATGACCATTTAGACTAGTAATAGTCCAATCAAGAAATTAACACAATGAGCCGGCTGTGGTGGCACACGCCTGTAATCCCAGCAACTCAGGAGGCTGAGGCAGGAGGATCACAAATTCAAAGCTAGTTTAGCAAGGCCCTAAGCAACTCAGTGAGGACCTGTTGCCAAAAAAAAAAAAAAAAAAAAAAAGGCTGGGCATGCTCAGGGGCAAAAACAACAACAACAACAACAAAAACAAAACAACAAAAACCATGAAATTGTCTAGATTACTAGAAAACCCAAACCAAACCAGAAACACCAAAACAAAATATTCTTATCTTTCTAAAAGGATTTCAAAAAGGGGTTCTGCCTTGAGAACAGAGTAGGGGTTAATATCACATTGGATAGCTCCTGACTATACTCCTTTAGCTGAAACCTGGACTCAAAACGGTTTACCCTATGAACTACAGAAATCCAGGGTGAGTACATACAGTTGGCTCTCTGTATCCTCAAGTTCTACACTGGAGGATTCGACCAACTGTGACAGGAAGTATTTGAAGAAAATTTGTCTGCATTGAACATCAGGACAAGACAAGACTTTTCTTGAGCAGCATACTGTAATAAGCATTTACTTATATTAGGGACAATTGATAATCCAGAGGCAATTTAAAGTATAGGAGGAGAAGATGTGCATAGATTATTTGCAAATATCACACCATTTTGCATGAGGGACTTGAGCATCCAAAGAGTTTAGTCTCTGTTGGGGGAGGGGGGGGTCCCCACTGTATTATTGAAACACCAGCCCCCAACCTCTGAGGTTAGTCACTGAGCTGTAAAGGAGAATAATGGCTGCCCCCTACCTCTGCAATGCAGAGGGGTACATGCATGATGGGGTTTATGCATATTCCTGGGGGCACATAACAACACTCAGACAGGCAAAGCAGGGCTCTTTCTGTGTGTTGCCTCCACTGATCCAGGAAGCAGGGCCTGTGCTCTGTGGGCAGTCCCTGTGCTCACGTGCACACTGGAAGTTGTAGAGAGTTGTGTTTTGGTAACACAGATCACATCAATAGGCTTTAAGAAACCCCAACACAAATCCCTCTTTAAAAATGAACGCTGGCAGCTGAGGGCTCCTTGGTGCAGAGAGAACACTAAGACAGGTTAGTCCTCCAGTGAAGTCTCCCTGCGCTGTTACAAGCCTGCCACTGCCTGTCCCATATCACTTCTCCCTGAAAATCTACAAATAACCCCTGTGCTGCAGGCAAGGTTACCCTGAGTCTCCGCAGGATGGCTGTCACCCGCTTCTGGAGGTTGTCCCAGCGCTGGTTGCCCTCGTGGACCATCTGCTTCAGTTTGCTGGCCGTGTCGGTGCGGTTCTCCCGTGCCAGCCGCCGGTACTGCTTGTTGATGAGCTCCAGCTGAGTGAGCCGCTCGTGGATCTGCCGCTGGAAGGCCTGCAGCCCACGGAGGGGTCAGTGTCAAGGAGGCAGTGGGCTGGGACATCTCCCTCCCCGACCCCAATGGCTTGCTCTGTGTGGCCAGTCCCCAGTCTGCACAGGTAACAGAGGGTGACTTCACCAGTAGTTGTTGTTTTGGGTACTAGAGATGGAACCCAGGGGTGCTCTACCACTGAGTTACATCCCTAGCCCTTTTAAATTTTAATTTTGAGATAGGGTCTTGCTAAGTTGCTCAGGCTGGTCTCAGATTTTCCATCCTCCTACCTCACCCGGCCCAAGTTGGGATTTAGGTGTGCCACTGAGCCTGGCTATCCCCAGGTCTTTGATGATAAAGCACAGGCTCCCAAGGCCAGCACATGGCTGTTGGCATACGTGGGTAACACCTTGCAAAGCTGCCTTAGCAGCTGGTGGCAGGCTGAGGATTGTGCTGTCCCCTCCAGAGGTCGGGGAAGTAGGCCTTGGAAAGCCATTTAGCAGCTTCTGAGTGGCTGCTGTCTCGGTCATTAGCAGGAGGAAGGATGGGGAAGGCGTTTACCTCAAACCTCTTCAGCTCTTCTTTGGCATTTGTGTACAACACCTCAGAGGAATTGGGGCAGGCTGCTGTCCTCTCGGCAGACTTGAGCCAGTCCTCGAAGCGGGAATAATCATCTAAAAACTTCTGCCACAGGCGCCATGTCTCTTCGATTCTGATGAGGGGAAAGTGGCTTAGCCAGCTGCCTATTTCCACCCTGTGCCTTTGGACTTGTTTTTGCCTCCTGACTGGGCCCATTCCCAGCTGCCTTATGCTCACGCAGTTAGGGAGAGACCCTGCCACCCTTCCTGGGAAATAGCTGAGGATGCTGCCTCCTGGTCTGCGCATCTTCCTTCTGGAAGGGCCGAGCATCTCAGAGGTCCTGCCTCACAGGGCTGAAAAACAGGAGACAAGCTCAGCAGTGCTTCATGGCCCAGTAAACATAGTAAGTAGCAGCCACAAAAGAGCTGGGGGAAGATGGCACCACACTAGGTTTTTTTCCAATAAGTCCTTGGTAAACACTGGTCACCCCTACTGGGTCCTCTCTGCCAATACCTGGCACATTTCTAAGTGACGTGAATAGAGCAATTACTATGACTAAAAGCAAGGGGTGCACAGAGTTCTGTAGGCCACAGCTCAATGTTTGGGGCCAGCAGGGTCCTTACTTCATGCGCCGCTCCATTGACATGGCACAAATGTTCCTCCAGCGCCTGTCCAGGCTTCTGGTGGTCTGCTGGATGGAGTCGCACTCGGTCTCGTTGGCACAGGCGTCAGAGTCATGCAACAGGACATCACAAATGTTGAATACGGACTCCACCCCTGCGCTGTGCTGTTCGATATCTCGCTGCAGATCCTAGGGTTGCAACAGGGTACGAAAGCCTTTGAGACAGTGGCAATGGATGGAAGGCTGGCATCAAAGGTTCACTGCTCATCCCTCCCCTAGTTTAGGGATACAGCCCTGGGTGCACTTGGGACCAACAATACAGGCTCAGCTTGTCTTTGTACAGCTCTGTGCCATTGCACCTGACCTGAAGCCTGGGTGGTGGCAACAGGTGGGATTTATGTGTTGAACTGAGTGAGGGTGGGAATGGTGTGGGGCCTGCTGTGCACTGACAGGTGGCCCTGCTGACCCTGAGAGGCCACTGCTCCACAGACCTTGGGCATGCTTGCAATCTAATCCAAATGACCTACCCCAAAGGCCTCCACTTCAGATTTGGTTTCTGAACTATCCAAATCCCTTCGGCAGGAGCTGAGATGTTAGCAACAGAATTGAGCTTTTATGGCTCACAGAACTCTGGGACCTACAAAGAGCCCTGTGCTGTCTCTCTACATACGTCCTCCTGTGTGGGTAGCTGTAAGGGTGTGCATGGCCTCTCTATGAGCCCATCAGTGGCTCCACAGGTCCCAAGGAAGAATCCTGGGACTCCTCTACCCAGAGAGTGGGGCTGTGACCTGGGGAGGGGGGAAAGAATCTCTGGATTCTTCTCCCATGATAGTGACAGTGATGCAGTTTCCCAATTTGGAAAAAAAGAACACTCATGAAAATGCATGGTCACAGGAAAAAGATTAAAAAATTCCATAAGAGGAAACATGGGGCTAGAGATATAGCTCAGTAATAAAGCACCTGCCCAGCATGCATGAGGACAATACACACACACACACACACACACACACACACACACACATTTTTTCAGTCATTGTGAGAGAATAATTCTTTCACATTCCATGGGTGGGCTGGGGAGTAGGGAGACAGATGAGGAACCTGTTTGTTTTGTCATTCTGGATGGGATAGGCTTCCCCTGACATCCAAATTATGTGATACGTGACAGGAGACCACACCATTAATCCTAGTAGCTGAATTATGTTGTAAAGTAGCCAGGACCAAGTTAAATTCTATTTCAACTGTTTGATAATACAACCATTTCTGAAATTGCACAATGGCTTAAGCAAGCCACTATCAACTCTACTAAGCTATAAACCAGTTTTCAAGAGGATTACTTTACAAACAGTGGCTGCCACCAGCTGCAGAGAGGCAGCTCAAGGTCATTCCAGGTCACCTCAGTATTTAAATAATTTTGGAGACAACTACTATATGCCTAAGTAGAACTAATATTTTCTTACATTTCTTCTTTCAAGTGCACAATTTGGATCATTGTGTGTTTGGGTGGATTTGAGAGAACAAATGCGAACACTCCACCTGAATTCTAAATCAGCCAGCTGCTAGCACAGATCCCGAGTAGACATGGGCACCAATTTAAACTCAGAAGAAGCATCTCTTCCACTCGGTCACCCTGTGAGCCCAGGGAGAGATATGCAGGGTGGGTTTTTAAAGCTCTACAGCTCAGGAAGAGTATCAGAAATGCTATAAGGGTGGCAGTATCCCCAGGGCCAATACTAGGACTAGCTTTAAAATTATTACATTTAAGTTGAATTCCAGTTTTTAAGAATTCTTACTGGTGTATAGAATTAGAACAGGTTTTTCTGAAATTTACTGATATTGATACATATCCTTTGAATTATTAAAGTAATAACAGTAATTTAGCACAGTAGTGCTAATTGAGTAATTCTGACAAATTAATTGAAAAATTCCCTCCATCTCACCTGGCTCCAACTGGGTAGAATTTGATGAAAATGCTCAGAGAAAGTCTAGTCTATGGATAAACATGAATGCCACTTTTTTTTTTTTTTTTTGTACTAGGGATTGAACTCAGGGGCACTCAACCATTGAGCCACATCACCAGTCCTATTTTGTATTTTATTTAGAGACAGGGTCTCACTGAGTTGCTAAGCACCTCATTGCTGAGGCTGGCTTTGAACTTGCAATCCTCCTATCTCAGCCTCCAGAGCTGCTGTGATTACAGGTGTGCACCACCACACCCGGCCAAATGCCATGTATTAAATTCTTTGCGGTTAGCTTATATTAGTCATCTAGCTTATATTGAATAAATGTTTAAAGAAAATTTAATAAGTGACAGAAATGAGATTCTAAACCAAGTTAAAAAAAAAAAAGATCATCCATATTTTGGCTGAATAAAAGCAAAAGTCCTACATTTTCAACAACAAAAAACCACAACCACCCCCCAAACACCTAAAACACCAGAGTGGCCTACTGATGTTGGAATTTCATGTATAAAATCAAGTTGTAAACTATATTTTAAAATGTAGATCTTCCAAGTCCTAGACAAGTATTATTTTGCAAATTAAATAAAATAATCCTGCTGCTATGCCCACTGAGGCATGAAGCTGAACAATAATTGCATTTCAGAGACTGTCCAAACTTGGAGACGAACTGAGTTTAAGGAAAGGCAGAAGACATTGGGAAAGACTTTTGCCAAGGGTTTTGGAAAGGGGCTCCTCTTCACTCTGTTTTCCTGAGCAGTTGACAGTGAAGTTAGGAAAGAGCAGAGGAGGAGGAGGAAGAGGGCGCTCAGCAAGAGGTGATGGGGGGTAGACATAAAACCAGAGAAGAGATGCAGTCAGGAAGGATGAGGATAAAAAGAAACCAGAAAAATAAGATAAAGAAGAAAATCACAGAGAGGAACCCATGGTGTGGTGGCTCCAGGAAGTCTCCATGGGAGGGGCTTGGGTGGCAAGCCAGCCAACCAGGGTAGTATTGGGGGACGGTTAAGGGGCTTGGAGTGAAGCTGAGTGGGCCTTTGGGGAAGAGGCTATTGGTCATTACAGAATGAGAGGGCAACTAAAAATGTCCCCAAGTGCCATCTGGCACCCTCAGGGATTCAACAAACAAACAAACAAAAAATCAGGAGAGAAATGTTTAAGACTCAGTGAAAGTGGCTCATGATTTGTCACTAATGGGCACCATTTCCTTTGCATTTTGAAAGAATGACCCCAATCAACAACTATCTAAAGAAGTTCTACCAAAGAAAGGAGAAACCCAGAGGACTCTCATAGAGTCTAATCCTTCCTCACCAGGTCCCTAAGGACATTACAAAGAGGACCCAGGGATATCATGGCTCTTTAGGGAGCTGGGGGCATTTGCAGGAGGCAATACTAGGCAATTCCCAAGCTTTTGGGTCCTTTACCAGAGGCAATCAAGCAACTTATGATATTTATTAGGGATGAAAAAGTAAGGTTTTTAAAAAGTGACTCATAAGTTCATTTGTGTGCCACTTCTGTTTTTAGTGTTTTGGATGATCTAGGTTTAGTATAAGAAACACATGCTAGTTCATTCCATTCAACAAAAGTACTAAAACTTTGCTCAGGTGGCAGAACAATGAAATGAATCCCCTCCCTTCCAAAGATGTCTGAATCCTAATTCTAGAACCCATGAATATATTAGGTTACAAGGTAAAGGAGAATTCAGTTTGCTGATCATTTGGCTTAACATAGATCATTTTAGATTATCTGGGTGGGTGCAATGTGTTCCTGAGAGTCCTTAAAAGTAGAAGACTTAGAGGAAGATGCAACTATGGAAGAATGGCCCATAGAGGCAATGTTGATTGATGTCTTAGAAGGTGGAAGAAGTGGGCCAGAATCCCAGAGATGTGGGAGGTCTCTAGAAGCCTGAGGGCAAAGACATGGATTCTCCTGTGGAGCCCTCGGAAGGGTAAGCTCCAGGTTGGTGCTTGGTCAGAATTGTAAGATTAATACATTTGCATTTTTAAGCTGTAAACAACAGCAATAGAAAATTGATATATCTAATTTATTTGCTGTAATGGTAGTCCTAAATACTAACTCCACAACTATTTTGATAACCAAAAGGGATAAGACTTCCATTATGGTAACTTTGAATTCTATAAAGAGGGAAACCTCGAATCCATTAGATGGAAATTATGTATCATTTCAGTATGGGAACAAATAGGCCAAGAGAATGGCAGTTCTAAATTGTACACTTTAGGAATAAATATCCTGCAATTTAGTGTGTCATATTTCAGATTTATAAAAAGTTAACACAGTTTTGAGCCTGTACTAAATTCAGCCAATCATTCTTTAAGAGCAAAGATACTGCCATCTTTCTTACTATTTACCTGAAAAGACTCACCACTCAGGATTGATAGTTGTTTGCAATGCCTTATCTATTAAGAGACTAGAAATTAAGAAATTTGTCCAACAGATTACATTTATAAATGAAGCTGATGATGTTCCACTGAGAAGTGCATCAAAATCTCTAGACTGTCCACTAAAGTTCTTTGAAATTTATGTGATATTCTTTCTCCACAAAGCAAAGAGAGAATTAAATGACCTTAATAAAAAGACACCCTTAGATATCTGAAGTGGTAAAACCAGTAATAATTTGTAGCAATATTAAATCATATTAATTTGAAAGCCATTATGGGCATCATTTGAATAGTAAAGGTGATAGTAATATCAAATACTTGGCTCTGTTTATAGAAGCATGAAATGACACTTGTAACCATTAAAAGGATGGACCGAACTCAAGAGAATGTCATGGAACAGGCAGCCTTCTGGCCTTGAATCTGGGGGAAATGTGCCAACACAAACTGTCTCTAAGCAGCTATGATAGATAGGATGAGCACAGGGGAGGTTAAATGGGACAAAACCAGATTCAAATCTAAGAATCATACGCCTTGGGTGGTTGGAATAATCTGCCTATAGCTCTGAAAGAAAATGGAGATGAACAAAAGCCACAGAAAGAACAATATAAACTTGGTAATTTAAAAAATAAAGACAAAGTTGGGCAGTGCATTATGAAAATGGCATGTGAGTAAAATTTACAGAAGGCAGCAAAGTGGATTCAATAAACCAGTGATGTCAGAGAGCTCCTGCCAGTGGGTGCAGTGGCCAATGCTAGTGGAACTCAGTGATTTTTCAAAATGCAGATTTCCAAGGTTAGCTCAGAGCATGCATATATATAACTGATGACAAAATGCAAAGTGTGGTAAACTCTGCACACCTGAGCTTCTTGGTCCGAGTATGTTCCTTTGCTTGTATAAAAGAATTCTCTTTTGAGACAGGGTCTCACTAAGTTGCCCAGGCTGGCTGGAACTTGTGATCCTCCTGCCTCAGCCTCCTGAGTAGTTGGACTGTAGGCATGCATATCTTATAATTTTTGTTTTTTTAAAAAAATGTCTATCAGTCACAAAGAGCATGACCCCATGAAAACTTTCCTTCATAAAAAGAGTTATTTCTTTTCCAACTTGTTGCCTTTCAAAATTATGTTAGCAAAACACAACAAAGATCAAAGTTCAAAAAAAATGACTAACCTAAACCCCCTAATTTCTCACTAAGATTAAGGTCTACATCTTACACACTATTTAAACTGTTTCATAAAGAGCTACGTGAATGGGTGGGCATTCAAGAGATGGACGCCTCACACATATAAAAATGCAGACAGGCAATCAGGGTTTTTTTCCTGGAAAAAAACAAACCGATATTATGAAATGCAAACATGCTGAAACACAGCAGATGATGTGGGCAGGTCTGTGTTCGTTATCAGACTTGCATCTTAGACACCTCTGCTGGGACACAGCTCACTTCCCATGGCCCCACCTGCTGCTCAGCGAGCCTCTTCTGGATTTCCTGATCGTCACAGACGTCGTAAACAACCGGCTTCGAAAGCTCAGACTCGATGCGAGCCAACCAGGTGCGAAGGTTGCTCATGTTTTTGTCTAACTGCTGAATAAAAGCAAATGTCTCCTTCAGCTTCTTCACCCTGAACATATTTGCAGAAAAAAAAAAAAGAAAAAGATGGAAGACAAAAACTCAGCATTTAGAGTGATAAGAAAAAGGGACCAGCTAATAAGGGTGTTTGTTGGTGGGTAAAGGATCAAAACTTGCTCTGATCTTCTAACAGGAACGACTCTCATGTCACCAGAGTTCCCATAGAATACATGCCACTTTGCAAAACTGTCACCTCGGTTGATTTTTTCATATGGACTTAGCCTACCCATGCAAACAAGGATGTCCTATCATTCCCAAAATGGGGGCCCCCTCAAGTCCTATCCATCTTGCTGGGCCTCTAGAGGTGAGATGTCACCACTTTTGGCTTCTTTTGCCCCGTTTCTGTCTTGGGTATGCCTGAGACAATTGTCTTCCCAAGAGATTAAAGATGCCACACGCCTGGCTAGTTGGTAGTTAGCCCACAATGCCTCTCATGGGACCTTGCTCTGAGCAAGAGAGGAACACATGCCAAACCCACTACTTCAGCCAGGATCGATGGTGCCACTGAACCAGCCCATGTGGGTACTAGAGGGTCGCCTGTCAGTCAGAGGGTGGGGGCAGAGGTGAACGGTGGCCTCAAGCCCAGTTCTAAGTGCCGGCTACCTGGCCAGCCTGCCTCAGATCCTGCCCAGGCTGACTCCACATTGAGCAGATTTGAAGACACACGTGGCACTGGTGTCAAGTGGTGCCCTCACCAAAACCAAGTGCCACTGAGAGACAACCACCAAAATTTTATGTGAATACTGAAATAAAACGTGTCCATAAACCCTTTCATGAAAGTCCTAAAGGAGCGTGAGTGAGGGTGACCTGGGGGATTTTCAGTTAATCCCAGCTACTTCAACTAGTAGCTACAGTTGAAACTTCCTACTTACCAATCCTCAAGCTGGAAGATACTGTCAGAACTACATTCCATGGCTGGGAGTGCTAAAGAGAGAAACTGAGGTGCTGACCCTAGCTCACTGGACCACACTGTCCTCCATGCCACCACCACCTCTTCCTTAACTGGACAACTTCCTACCTAGCGGCCTCCTTGCCCTCCTACCCACCTTTGGTTCTGAAGCTGAAGGATACATCCTGGAAGGCGGGTCTGATCCATGGCCACAACACAACAGTCGCTGCCCTTCCTGGACAAACCAGTTTAATCACGTGATCTCCTCCAGTGTTCAGTGGCCTCTGCCTCTAGCCCTTCAGTTTGCAAAGCAGCTCCTCTTTCCTTCTGGAGCTTCTCTCCACTGCCCCTCCCCCACAGGCTCCCACAGTATCTGGGCCTCCCACCTGGCGCCCTAACCGTGAGTATCTGCACCTATCAGCACAGAGACTAGCTGCCAGGCAGCACTCCCACACCGCCTGGTGGGCCAGAGGTGTCCACAAACATTTGCTGAAGGGATAATTATAGCTAAGCCCTTCTACAGCCTAGGAATTGGGCAGACCACAGAGATGTGCATGTGCATTTCGTTTTCGTTCCTTACAAGGGACCAAGTCAATCAGCCAGCTCTATTGTCAGGGTGACCTGCTATGTTCTCCCTTATCTCCAGGAAGCCTCTGAAGTCTCCCAATTCAGGAAGGCAATAGGATCCAAGTGAGGTTAAGGCTAGAGCTTCGGAGGTGAGCTGCCCAGGGTCAAGTCCATTTCACTATCTATAAGCTATACATCCCTGCAAGGCCCTCAGTCTCTGACTCCTTGTTTCTTTGTTATCTGTAAAATTAAACACCTTTGCAGTGGTTGTGAGATCAAAATAGCAGAATGCATGCATGTAGAGCCACTGGGGCATAATAAATGCTCAATAACACTAGCTCTTCTTATGCTGACTGGGTTTACTGTGAAAATAATAATGCCTTTTCCATTCAGCACTGGACCTCACCAAGTTCTTTCATAGGTGTTTTAATCTTATTAGCACCATAGACTGTTCAGGCTTGTAAGCTGTGGAGTCTGGTGGTGAAGGACACAGACAGGCCCTGACCACAGGGTTTCAGTCCTAACTGTTTAATCTCATGTGAAAAATGGTGCTAACAGTAGCACCTTCCTTCCTGGGTAGCTGAGAGGACCACAGGAGACACAATGCATGAAGGGCACTGGGACACTGTCTGATGTGATGGGCAGATGTCCAGGGACTGTGTGCATGATCAGTTTCAAGGAGGAATATTCTCCAAATTGCATTCTTACTGCTAACAAGTTGCCTTCAAAGTCACTAAAAGGATTCATTGAAAAAAAAGTAACAGAAGCCCAAGCCAGGCCTGGATACATTGTAACCTGGATGAAGCAGGGGCTTCATTTCCACCAAGTTAGCATTATGCCCTCCTCACCCAAACATTCTGCCACCCTGCCTGTCCAGGGACCAAAAGTCTTCCACACAGTTGGGCTGTCCTCCTCGGAGGCTCTGCTGGAGAAGAGGCCTGGGCAGGTTCAGGTTCAGTTCAGCAGCCTCCTCTTCCCTTTTCCCAGGATGGCAGCCACTGCCTTCATCCAGCATCTGACCCTATTTCACCATAAGAATCCCGGCCTCTTTCTTATCATAAAAAGAAAGAGGGCTGGAATGCAAGTTTTTTATATGAAGGTGACAAGCAGCAAAATAATCTGGGTGTAAGAATACCAGAGTTAAGTGGTCTTGAATTGACTTCAGTCCTAGGGGTCAGCCATGCCATGCATGATAACTCCTGCAGGAGCGGGATGAATAATTTGCTCGGCTTCCCAGGACTGTGGTTTCTAAGGGGTGCTCCAGACATATCAATGGGACATAGGTATAACATACAGGCTGAGCATCCCTGTTCTGAAAAAATCTAAAATACTCCAAAATCAGACACTTTTTTAGCACAATCATGATGCCACAAGTGGGGAATGCCACTCCTGATCTTGCGTGATGGTTTACATCAGAACACAGGCAACACTGAAAGTTACTATGTAAAACTATGTCCAGGGTATATATGAGAATCCTAAATGAATTTTGTGTTTAGACCCAGGTCCCATCTCTAAGGTATTTCATTATGTACATATGAAATTATTCCCAAATCTGAAATCCAAAATACTTCTGTTCCTAAGCATTTTGGATAAAGGATACTCAACCTTTATTAGACTTTATACTGCTAACCTATTCTTTTAAAGTATCTACATTGGATATGACTTTTAATACATAAACCTTATTACTAAAATGGAATATCTGTGTAACATAGCATCTAACAGGCTGACCTGTGCCAGGCCTGCAGTGGTTCACACGTTAGCAACTCATTAATCCTTACGACAATGCTAAGATATGGGTATTATCATCATTCCTATTTGACAGTTGAAGAAATGGAAGCCAGAGGTTAAATTATTTGCCCAAGTCAGATGGCCATTGAGCAGCAGTGGGGGGAGGGGGCAGGATTCTAACTGGGCAGCCTGGCCCAGAGGTATTACCATATGGCCTTGCATACATGCCTGCATACACTAACGTGTACCTAATAGTGGCACATCATGGATTTTGTTGCTGTTGGGGACATGACCAGAAGTCTGGACTCATGGCTACTGCATTACTGGGGATAGAAGCCAGTCCACACAGCGCTAGACTTTGTGGCTATAAGCTGGTGTGTGGGGAAGAGGTCAGAAGGCTCAGATATGCTGTTCCCATTTCCTTCCCATGATTTTCTTTCAATGCATTTAACTATTTGCTTAATCTTGGTTGCTGTGCACATTCTGGAAATCCAAAGATAACTGGAAGATAGGTCTTATTTCCACAGAGCTCATGACCTTGCAATTAGATGTTATGATAGGGGAGATGCACAATAAAGATCTATTGAATGAGGTTCACTTATACCTTCAAGTTTTTTTTTTCTATAAAAGAGGTGGTCACATTATATTTGAAAGGAGAGAAATAAAGACCAGAGCACATCAAAGCCCTTTTGCCAGAAAACAACATGGTGCCCTCCAGTGAGCCACATGTGCCCCTAAACTCAATTTCCAAATGAAGTGGAACAGGCACACAAATCAGGTGCACACTTAGGGTAAATTAAAGAAGAAGGGAAGGCAGAGGGAAGGCAAGAAGACTGCCAAGAAGCTATATAGCATTCATCAGTCAGAACCGAACCTATTCCATGTATCAACCTCTGTCTGGAAGCACAACACCCCAAATGTATGAGAATCAAAATGTTGCTCCTTGGATAATCATGTTACAACTCACTCCAGGAACATCAGATGCATTGCTGAGTTTGTAATGTTCTGTTCTCTGCAGATACTGTAACCCAAATCACATTGCCCAGGTCAGAAATTTATGTGCCATTTGCCAGCCACAGCAACTGGCCTCCACATTAGGACTCCTTAAAGTTGCTCTTGGAAAACATTTGAATCTCAAGTTAATATGGAGAAACAAGGAAATCTATTCAGAAACCAGTCCATTGGCACAACCCTGCATTACATCAACCACCTAAACAGTTTGTTTATGTGGCTCCCATCTCTGTACTTGCCCACATTTTGACCCAAGTGCTCTTGGCTAACACTTCTCACATATATGCCAACAAATATTTATTCAGAAAAATGCAGCATGATTTCCTGAGTTGAATTCTGAGGTCTGATGATCAGAACAATAATTTTTTTTTTTTAGGTGCAAAGAGGGAGCTGTCTGCCTATACAGATATTTTCCATGAAACCAAACAAAAGAATTATACCCAAGAGTAGCTATAAAACAGAACAGTTCTTTTGCAAGGATTATGGGTAGAAATGCAGAAAACGATTAAGGCGAACAAAGTTTGTCTTTTATCTTGACTAGAGATGGATCAGAATGTAACACTAACAAATACTGCTCTCCTTCCAGAATGAACAGTCAAAATCAAGGTGAGTTGGTTAGTAGCAGTCTCCGCATCTAGCCCAGGTCTTACAATGCAATGGAGGCTTCAAATAATACCTGCATATACATTTAGAATAATTAATAGTTGTGCATATGGAATAATTTACCTTTCAGTCCAGTTCTCCTCATGCTAAGGAGTCTACAGAGAAATTACTAAAGCCCTAGATTAGCATAAATT